CAAACAATGGCTAACTTCTAAGTAGGGGTGTAAACGGATTTTAATCGGATCGGATGTGCTATTACCAAATCCGTATCCGTTTATTTTTATCGGATATCGAATTCGGATACGGATCTTGACGGATATTGAAAAATCAAAACTGTATCCGCATCCGTCGGATATCGGTCGGATATCGGATATATCCGTATCCGTTTCCAATTTTTAAAACTAAACTAAACAATATTTGAATTTTCAATTAAACTAAATTAAAATATTATTAAATCAACTATAATTTTTTATGGGATATTTATTTTCTTATTTTTCATAGTTTATGATATTATACGATGACTTCATATCATAAAAAGATATACACCGTACATATATACACATATTTTTACATGTCTACACATATTTTTATGTGTTTACACATATATTTTGCATATAAAAATGTCTTATACTTTGAGATATCTATAGAGAAACAAAATATAAAAATAAAAAATTAAGAAAGACCATATATAACGGATCGGATACACGGATAAACGGTTATTTAAACGGATGTCAATGCGGAGCGGATTATAAACGGATCGGATGTATGATTACCAAATCCGTATCCGTTTAGCAATCGGATATCCTTAATCGGATACGGATAATAACCGTTTTTAACGAATGCGGATATTTTCTATATAAACGGATACGGATACGGACGGTAATCGAATTTTCGGTTATCCGTTTACAGCCCTACTTCTAAGCCCAACAACTGTTGTGAGAAGATCAAGGAATTAGGCGTAAATCTTAGTTCACAGAATCGATCACCATTCTTGTTTGAATAAGAGGAGAAAAGGAAGAGAAAAGAAAATGGAGCGAAGATGGAAAGGAGATAATTGATGTTTGGATTGGTAGAAAATGAAGAGAAAATAAGAAGAAAGGGAAAAATTTATATTCTTTCCTTTGTTTTTTATATTTGGTTTGAGATAAAAGTAAGAAAAAAGAAAATATAATAAAGTAAAAAGAATTTATCCAAGAGTAGATGGAATGGGCTAGGAGTACTTGCAAATGGAGGAATAAAGGGTTAATCAGTCATTTTATAAGTTTTTTCTCCGTGTAGCCCAATTCTCTCACTATTTTCTTTTTGAAACAAACAGGAGAAAAAGATTTCTTAAACCATGTGTTATATATATATAGCTTGACCCACGGGCATGAAGGAAATGTCAGGCCCCGTCACGACGTGACCACTGCGACACAGCATGTATGACAGATGCGTGACAAGCATGACTTAGGGAGGAAAGTGCATTCAATTAGGATTCTGATGGATTGTTTTGGATTCAGAAATTCCATAGGTATTCAATTTAGATTTTAAAAGTCATTTAAAATCTGAATGTATTTAATTCAGATTTTAAAAAATCTTTTTAAATCTAATGATATTCAAAATTTGATAGATTCTTAAAGATTGTGAAAAATGTGGATTTTGATGAATTTTTATTTGTTGGGTATAAATACAAATCCACCCTTAAAATCTCACCAAAAAAGTAAAGATTTTGACAACTCCATCGATTTCTCCTCTGGTCGCCATCCTTCTTCATCTTCTTCCAGTCGACCGTACCATCTCTTCTTCATCTTCTTCCAGTCGGGCATCTTCTTCATCTTCTTCCAATCTATCATCTCCTCTGGTCGCCATCTCTTCCATATTCGTTGCTACTCTTGTTGAATTGAAGGACGATTATTGAGGAATAATGAGCGATCTGGTAAGCCTATTCTGATTCTGAAATTGGAGACCTGATTATAGTTAATTAAGGTAACGAATTGAGGCAAAAGGGAAGTTTGTTGCACTGTTCACATTGCGATTTGAGCTCTCTGAGATGGTTCAGATTCATGTTCCTGCTTGTTCTTTATCAATTTTGTTCGTGAAAGTCTTGGGTTTCTGATTTGATAATATTGTGACGAAGTCTTTCAATTCTTGGTAATTGTTCATCTTCTTTAGCCTGGGTTCCTGGCTATGTGTGAATGGCATATTGCTCTTCATTTCGGTGGTTTGTTTGTGGATTATTGGTGAATGTTTTGTGTTCTTTTGGCATGATAATGGGTTGGAATGGCTGAGACACCAATGATTAACCTTTCACCTAAGATTGGTTCTTGCTTTCACCAACACTTCTTTCGATTTTGCTTGAACTTTGAATTATTGTTTTGAGGACTTGAGAGAGTTGCTAGAATTTTGGGGTCAAAGAAGGAAGATGAAGGGCAGTGGCAGGAATTATTTATGTGTAAATAATCCATGAATTATAAACAATCAAATAGAATCATATAAAATCCTATTGATAAAATACATTGAAATCTACTTAACTCTATATAGATTTAAAATAATCCATGGACTTAATAGAATCTACGGATTCTAAATAATCTAAAAAAATCCATTAGAATCCTAATTGAATACACCCCTTAATAATGCTCATGGGCGTTGACTCAATACATGCACAATGTAAGCTTTAAAAATTAACACTCCAAATGCAGCAAAAGCCAAGTTTGAGAGGCATAAACATAAACTTTACCAAAAAAGAGGGAAACTAATTTGTCCTGGGTGTAAGAAATGTCAAGAATACCCTCAAATGAATCCACAACATCAATCTGTCTGCATTGCTTCTGAATGGTACTTGTCTAGATCAGCATCAAGCTCTATGGCAGAAACCACTTTTCCACCACCACTGTCTCTTCTTCCTCTCCCACGCCCCCGCCGTCTCCTTCCTTCCCGCCTCCGAAGGACTATTGGAATTTCCAGTCGCTGCATTTGTGCCGGCAATCTCTATCTTCACTGGCTTTCCATCAAGCTTTGCATTGTTATACCTTTCGAAAGCCGCCAAAGCATCTTGTCTGCGACAGTATACAACTTCTGCTGTTTCCTTTGATCCTCCACCATTCTTGTCGTAATGCATTGCATACCATTTCATATCACCAAATTCTGAAAAAAGTATATTAATATCTTCTTCTGAGACCCCATTGCCTAGATTGGAGACATATAGCTTCGTGCCCGTTTCTATCTCAAACATATCTTGAGTCCAATTCCGAGCTGAGTCGTGTGCCTTTGCAGTTGGGTAAGGGGCATATCGGTTAGTGGATCAGATTGGGATCTGTCTAATTCGTCTTGCTTCTCCTCGGAAAGAGCTATTACCTCCTCCAGAATTTGTATTCTTCTAAATGAGATCATCAATTCATCATTGAAAAAAGAAAATTACAATATTAATATCTCACATAACAAGAAGTTAAAAAAATATGGGCTTTCATCTTTAAAATCTAAGATAGATCGTTTTAATTACCTTCCCTTGATTTTTGACAAGGATACAATCTGCATTACACAAGTCATCAACTTCGGCAGCAGAGAAGAAGCATTGGCGTTTCCTCGCGTCTAGAACTAATCCTTCCCAAATTGAATGGCTACCCGTAAGGGTCTTTTCATTTCCCAATATCCATAAACAGTGCCTAAATTGAAGAAAAAAACAACTAGAAAATCATCAGAAGGCAAGCACAATAAGTAGCATCAATTCCAAATTAGAAAAGGGTGGAAGATTACACATACCGGGCTCTGGTCAGAGCAACATTAGTTCTTTGGAAACTAGACATAAAACCGACAGTGCCATCAGGATTAGATCTCATTGTTGATAATATTATTATATCCTCTTCCCCACCTTGGAAGCCATCAATAGACTTCACCTTAATTGCAAAGCCATTAAGGTTGTCATACTTTCTGCCAATCTTATCTTTGATGGCAATAACTTGAGCAGTATAGGGAGATATAATACCGATGCTAAGTGTATTTCCCGTAGTTTTCTCTTTATTTTTCTTTTCGTTATGCCAAGCTGGGTAAAATGTTTTGATTAAAAAAACAACATGTTAGAACATTGCATGCAAACTCAAAAAATTGCAAAATCCCTAAAAGTAAGAATGAGGAATACTTCATACAAAACAGCAAGTGAAACAGTTTAATCCCAACAGTTTCATGACTTCATCGAAACTAACATGAACTCGGAATTGCTATAAACCGATTTACTGTATTATCACTCTCCTAGTCTCAGCACCAGTAAGAATACAATTGCTCATGGGAAAACAACTGGGTTTTAAAAGAAATTAGGCAATGGGTAGCTTTGGGCTCATAAGTCATAATTGTGCAAGGTCCAACTCAATCTCCTTTTCTCATTCCGCTCATTTATCATATTCTATATATGTTACTTATTGAATTAGACTTGTTTCCAACTATATCATCTAGAGAGGTCAGGTTCATGCAGATCCTTCTGCTTTACATTTCATCTCTAAAAAACATGCAAATTGTACTTAAAATGCATGTATTTTATTAGAGCACAATAATACTTCAGGGTATATAATTTTAGCAATTCACTTTGAAGAAACGAAGTGATAAATCCAAAGCTTTCAGATATTAGCAAAAACAAAAAAATTGTTTAAAAACAACCAAAAACAAAGAGAAGACTCACATTCAAACAAGTTCTGCACAATCTTAATTACTAGATCCACCTCAGCCAAATTTCTTCTACTCCCGCCAAAACTATCCAATTCTTCGTTTCCATTGGGGAGACTTATAAAAGAATATGGACCAAACATTTTTCCGGGAAGGTATTCTATCTCGTGGGTTTTATTTATCACATTTGGAGCGTCCATGACTTGGTTACTATAAAAACTCAAATTTGGGAAGTGGCTTATTGCTGGATGCATTCGGTATTGCACTTTAAGCATGAGCTTTGAGTGACCCAATGAACTTAGCCTTTCAAACAAGCTTCTTCCAAAACCAGCTTCACCGGATACCTATTAAAAACTTTTTCTAGTCATTTGGTTGATGAAGAGGATATGAAATTTTAGATTCGAGACAGAAAAAAAAATTAAAGAATTGTATATGTGCTCACTTTGCTTTGGACAGTCGCCGGTAATTGGTGTTCATCGCCTACAAGAATTGCATGTTTCAGACCTCGAAGTTGAAGTGGTATGATTGATTCACATTCCATCAACTGAGCAGCTTCATCAATGACCAATACTTTAAATGGTTTAGTATAGAGTGAATGCATCTTATAAGAACTTGACGAGGTGCAGAAAACCAAAGATGAACACCTTAAACAGAACTTCTTAATAGCTGCTCTATTTAATCCACTGGGAAGATTAATTTTTCTAAAAGAACGCAGAAGAGTTTTCAGAATGGTGAGGCATTGGGTTCTCAAGTAGACCAATGAAGACGTGTCTAGAAATGATTGGCAGGAGACTTCAGAGGTTACTGGTTGTGAAAAAATTTTCTTCAGTTCTTCATTAGATGTCATATGCTTCTGATATAAAGTTTCTTTTAGATCATCCAGAAGGGAAATCAGAGAGATCATATTTTGGAAATTGTGTTCTTGAATGAAATGCCTTGGTATATGATTGCACATTGTTATCATGCATCTTCTGACTGGTGGTACTGCAACCTCAAACCTAGATTTAATAAATTCAGCAAAGGACATTATAGGTTTGGCACTATCACTCCTTTGGATTAATTCAGTTTTCCGATACGTTTCATAGTCAGAAACAGAATGTTTGAAAAAATAAATTGTGGAATGAATGAAGTGTCTCCATCCCCTATCGCACCCCAAACACTCAACAAGACTGTCAATGCGGCGATCCAGACATATCTCATCAAAGCCTCTGTCCAGCTGTAATCTATCATTCTTTGCAAACAAGAACACATCACCCAGTGGACATACCATATTTTTCTTAAAAGACTCATCTTTATAAGACTCGTGTACCAGCCTTATCACCCTAGAGGCCACTTGTGTTATTGCCACATTAGTCGGTGCACAGATAAGTGTTCGGCAGTTTCTTTTCATCAGCATAAATAGCAGTGTGCTAATAGTACTTGTCTTCCCGGTACCAGGAGGGCCCCATATAAGATCAACATGGGACATTTGGTCGCATTTCACCCTTTCAAGACAAGTACTGCATTGGATTGTGACTCATTCAGCCTGGACAACAAGCTTGCTTCTATCCCTTGAGTTGATGATCCTATGCCAGCAGGCTGAGTGCATGCACAACATTGCTTCTCAGCCTAATCAATTTTAGACACACATGAAACAAAAATAATTATCATTAGGGCGGTAAAGTTTGATACTCCCTCTGTCCCATAAAATTCTTCTCACTTTCTTTTTTTGTCCGTCCCAAAAAAACTTCCCTTTCGTTTTAAAGTAAAGAAATTGTCGCTAAGATTATTTCTTTCTCCTCTTGACCCATTCTAACCACACTCTTTAAAAAAAATCAACACTTTTTTTGAACTCCGAGAAAGTCAAAGTGAGAAGTTTTTCTTATGGGACGAGGGAGTATATTGAGAATGGATACTTTGGAAACAATAATAATTGAAGTAAAATTCAAAGGGTAGTAAACCAACAACATCATCAACCCCAGCACTCTCGTACAAAATGGTTCCAAAACAGTTCAAATTCTTGTCCATTCCCAATGCATCCCAAATCCTTTCACTTGTTGTAAGATTTTCTAAGAAAACAATATGCAGCTTTTTATCAACTCCATCTCTGGTTCCAATATCTCTAGGCATTTTCAATTTCAGAAGTGTTGAAGAATTGACTTCACAGGCCGTGACGACTGAAGCCAATGTCCAATTACATGCCGCACGATTCAAATCAGAAACCATTTCAAGTTTCTTATCTGAGATCACTACTATGTCTCCAGGCAATGTTTTGTAATGCTCTCCGTCACCACTAACTCTTCTCTTCCAAAACACATCCTTGACAACACAATAAATAACTTTCCCAGTTCCATCCACCCCTTCAAAGGAGATGATCACTTCACCTTCACCAAGTGGAGCTTTGTTCAACACCTCCATAGAAGAACGGATATTTGCCCGTGTTTCTTCAAATAAAGGAAATGTATAAGAACAAAGATAGTGGTCCCATGAGCGGAATGCATCCGGAATCTTTTCAACCTAGCAGAAAGAGTGAACGAAAATGCATGTTCAATGAAGATTAAAATCTAAATATCAGATGATGTTGGCAAGATATAGATATAGGCATATTACTTTTTTATCAGATAAATATAGGCATATTACTAATAACAGTGGCAATGGTCTGAAAAGCGGTAGGCACTTAGGCAAGGATTAATCGAGGCCCGGACAAACTTTTAGGCTACGATTTTCAGAAGACTCGCAAAATTCAATTGTCAATGAAGACGACTAGTAAAGGATACAATGGGAACTGGGCTGCATCAGTGTGGTGGACTGGTGGAACAAGAAGATGGAGATACCTGGTGTTTATAGAGATTTTCATTGAAAATGTCTTCAAGGGACCATGAGAGCACTATATCAGCTAGGTCAATCTTAGGCCGAACTTGCCTCTTTGCAAAGGGATGCCCTTCTTTCATTATCATTATTTTGCCCATCAAAATCCCAGAATACTCTACACTTCTGCTTCAGAAAACCACTCGCATTGTAAACGATTGAGGTGCAGAAACACTTAAATTTGATCAAGCAAGCAGCTAGGGTTTTCCAGTTTTGTATGGACATGAATGAACATATAGAGTAGGGAAATGAGCCAAAATTAAGAGGGAGAATTGAAATGATCAGACCGGCCGTCTTCAATAAATGTAGAAGAAAGATGAAAGCCGAGCTCCACGGAGCTCGAGACACATTCTCATATGGCGGCGGCGGCGGCAAAAAGATCCTGGATTGCATCTTCATCCCTAGGCGCAGTGCGACTCCCAAACAATTATGACGACTAGCCCTTATATACTCCTTTCATATTGTTCAAAGCAAATACCTTCTATTTTCGAAATATAACTGTCAGGTCCCATTAAATTTAGAAATGTACTGCAGGGTCCCTCTTATTATCCAGTAATTAACTGGGTGGGTACAATCCGTCAAGCCCACCGTTAGTTACAGCCACTCCGCTTCATTCTTTATTAATAACAGGTGAAATTCCAATTGTAACCCTCCGTCCTCTTCTTCTTCAAGTACTCTTCTTCGTTCTCTTCTTCAAATTTACAGCAGCGCAAACATTGGGAACTAGGGTTTGTGACGGGAAGGAGGTGTGCAAAGCAAAACAATAAAGGTATGGAGCTTCTTGATTTGTTCTTGCTTGTTTTATTCGTCAGGCACTCCATATTCTTAGAATTTATTCGTATTTGGCTTTGTGCTTTGTTTCCATGGTTTTTGATGAAATGGGGCTCATCGGTGTTGGGTGTGTCCAGGTTCAATTGCCATTGAGTTCCTCAGTAATGGCTCAAAATAGGTATGTTTATAGTATTGATGTTCCTCAACTTACTATATCCGATTCTGAACCGAATAACTACGTATCCAAAACCGACCCGTAAAATTTGAACCGAACCTAATTTTTGTCGGGTTGGCTTTCGTTTAGTATATTTGACCGACCCGACATCTACCCAAACCGTCCCGACATGTAACCAAACCGACCCGACATAAACCCGACACGACATCTCCCCGAACTAACCCGACATCTACCCAAACCGTCCCGACATGTAACCAAACCGACCCGACATAAACCTGACACAACATCTCCCCGAACTAACCCGACATCTACCCAAACCGTCTCGACATGTAACCAAACCGACCCGACATAAACCCGACACAACATCTCCCCGAACTAACCCGACATCTACCCAAACTGACATCTACCCGAACTGTCCCGACATGTACCCAAACCGACCCGTAATAATTGAACCGAACCCGACACGACATGTTTCCTTACATTTTGACAAATATGCTAAAGAATTGTTGTTTTTTTGGTATAGTTTTGGAAGTCGCTCGGTCACGTCCTCAAAAAGAGTTTGTCAATATGGTGAATGGTTTGAAGTCCCTACTTGTAGGTGTGGCAAGGACATGAAAATGCTAACATCGTGGACCAAAAGTAATCCTGGTATAAGATTCTGGACGTGTGCCGGAAATGTCGGTGAAGTATAATTATTTGTTTTACATTTTGGTGTTGATTTATTTGTTTCATGTGATTAATGTAAGTTCGTGTTGATTAGGGAACACGTAAATGTAAGAGCTGGGATTGGATTGACCCTGAAATATGCGATCGTGCTAAGAAGATCATTCCCGGGCTTCTAGACAAGATCAATGAGAAAGACAGAGAGATGGAGAAGCTAAAGAACCGTAATAAACAGAAGAAAAGGATGAATGTCATCCCTTTTATGTTTGGTTTGGGTGTAGGACTTGTCATCCATTATCTTTTCCTTGTATTATTTATGTAAACTTTAGAAAACAAGACTTTGGCTATGAATGTAATTTCACCCTTTGTCTTTGTATTGGCTGTGGCACTTGTATGATGTACTTTATGGTTTTTATTTGTAATGAAAGCCTACTATTGCTGGATTGTTTCAATAGAATGCATCTGCCATATTCTATCTGCAAAACAAACAGAAGCCAGAAGCCAAAACAAAGTGACCAAAACAAAGCAACACTTTGGCTATGAATCAGGAACTGTTACACACAGAAGCCAACACATTTCAGAATCCAAAAACCAAAAACTAAAGCCAACACAATTCAGAACTGTTACAGACTTTGGAATCAAAACATTTCAGAATCCAAAAACAAAACAAAAAACATCAAAATCTGTTACAAACAGAAGCCAACACATGTTCTTGGCATTGCTAATCTCAAAAACTGTTACATAAGCCAAATGTTACAAAAACTAAGTCTTTGTGCTGTGATGAGCATCAAAATGATAAAAACCATGTTACAGTGAATGAACTACATGTCTTCAAACACAGCCCAAAATCTCTGCATTCCTAATCTTTCTTGGCTAGTTTCTTCTTTCTTATCTGTTTCTGCACCAATCTGCCATCTTCATCCCTCTTTTGACCACAAGTCCTATGGTTATGACCCAGCTGTTTGCACTTCCCACAACGTTTTGTTCCATGAACCATCCTCTTCTGCTTAATGACCCTGTCATCAATCCCATCTCTTCTCTTGTGCTTTTTAGGTCTTCCCTTTTTCTTTAGGTTTTTTGGAGGGTCAAGATTGGGTTCTGATGTCTCTCCCCACATGCAAGGATCTGGGATAGGGTGTATAATAGCATCATACAACCCCTTGTACTTCTCAACTGAAAACCAGTGTGCACAATAGTCCTCTAACTTCTCATTCAGCCTAAGAATGCATCTTGCAGCATGTTTACAAGGTAGGCCTGTCACTTGCCATCTGTTACAGTCACAATTATGCTCTCGTAACCTCACTGTGAAATTTGTGCACCCATCAAGTACATCAAACTCCCCTCTACCAGCAGCCACAACCTCTGAGCACACTCTTGAGTCCATTGCTACCTCTGAGCAGTGTCAGCTTCAACATCTATTTCATCATCTGTCTCTGATTTGTCATCCATGGAAAGTTCCTCACTGCTTAAACATTCAGTGGAGTCTTCACCCCCCATCAAAGTCATCATCTTCAGTGGACTCATCTTCTTCATCAGTATCAACCTGTCCACTTTGTATTTCAGCTTGTGAAGGAAGCACAACCTCTTCAAAAAATATATCTAGGGTAGGAATTTCAGGTTTGCTCAAACTTGGTATGTCATACGCTTCTAAGCCTTTCAATTCCTTGCTCAACAATTTCACATTCAATTCAGTAAGCTCAAACTGTTTTCTTCCTCCCTCCTGAGCCTTCCTTTTCTTGTTCTTAGGTGTCCTATGATTATCAACCTCCTCTGCAATGGTGGGAGAGTGTTGCGTAGAGGAGTTTGTAAGGAAATCACCTAAGGGATAGAGGTATTAGGTGCTGGTGGAGTAAGACTAAGTAATTCTTCAGCTTCAATCAAAGACGGCTGGGTTTGCACTTCATCTCTCATATTCTTGTTTTGCCTTCTCACTATTAACTTGGCTTTGCTACAACTCCTTGGTTGGCTATCAAGAATGCTACCACATTCTGTTGGAGTCACAAGTAGATTATCAGCCCACTGCTCAATTTCAGTCATACAGGCCTCATTATAATCTTGGGTACTGGAATCAAGACCCTCTGCCATTTTTTGTAGTGCACTAGGCTCCTGCAACTCAATCACAAATAAGGGGATGTAAGTACAACAAACCCCACCCCATTCAGCCACCATTCTATTCCAATCTGAATCAACCATTAGTGGCTACCTCTGAAGTTCTTTGCCTAGTAAATGATATCTAAATCCAATGAACCCAGGGAGAATTATATTCTGCTCTTTAGCTCTGGAAATTACATCAGCATACAAATCCTTGGTGAAGTAGATATCCAAATCAATGTCTTCTATGTCAATCCATTTGTCTTTTACATATACTCTAAATTCAGTAAGAGGCTGAAATTTTAAAAATTGAAGAGTAAAATGAGCAATAGTATACACCCAGTATTCAATAGAAAACAAAACATTAAACTGGCATAAACCTTTGGAATTCCTTAGTCTTCATACTCAGTTTCATGTCCAGTAAATTCGAGTAAATCGCATAATATAAACAAATTCAAACTATCAACACCTTCGTTTCATGTCCAGTAAATTCGAGTCAACAGAAGATGACGAAGAAAATTGACCAAGAAAATTGACTTTATAAATTCCAATGGTTCAGGCTATACTTACCATTCTTTGCAGGTCTTCGATTTTTCCTTTTCCGGAAGTTCAAGGAGGAAGACGATGAAGTCAGATAAAATCAAACACACGTTTATACCTTTTTTTGGAAAAAAATAGGGGTATAACGGACATTTCGCAGGCACTAACGGTGGATTTGACGGATTGTATCCACCCAGTCAATTACTAGATAACAAGAGGGACCCCGCAGTACATTTCTATATTTAATGGGACCTGGCAGTTATATTCCGAAAATAGAAGGTACCCGGGAGTGATTTTTTGTTGTTCAACGAGTATTACTTTTGTTTACATACTTCGTATTTGTTCGTATTAATTACTCCCTCCCGATTAAAAATTCTTATTTTTTGAAATCATTTTATTTACAAATTAGAATATCAATAAGATATAAAAATTACTCCCTCCGTCTCAGAGTATTTGTCCACTTTCATTTTTACACATCATCCAATACATTTTTTAATCCATTTTATCTTATACTCCGTAATTTATATATTAAAAAATTATAGAAATTATATATTACCCGGAGTAATAATTTATATGTTAAGACAAATCAAACAAGATCACACATGACTATATTTAGGCTTACACATTGAGAGAATTTAATGAGTCAAAGTGCTTAGATAAACAGTTCCAAAAGTCAAAAGTGAACGATTATAGCGGGATAGAGGTAGTATATATTAAAAAATTATGTCAAAAGTTTTACAAAACAAGAGGTGACAAGAATATTTTATTTTATCAAATATTTAATGAAATCGCGTAAACAAACAAAAGTTATAGAAAAAAATTGCAATCTATTTAGGGACAGAGAGAATATAAAATAAAATACTTCCTCCGTTCTATATCTTTCTTCCCGTTGCGCAAAACGAAAAAAATCTCAAGTTTTTTCAATCTATTTTATTTAAATATTGGTATAGAAATAAAAAATAAAACATACATATTTAAAAATTATATCAAAAGTTCAACAAAACAAGTGGTGACAAGAATTTTTTATTTTATCATATATGCCATGAAAAAACACAAATAAATATAAATTCCCGTGAAGTTGGAATAGTGCTCTAGGAAGAAAGTTTTAGGACGGAGGGAGTATTATTTTCATATTTTGGTTTATAAGAATTTTTTATGTTATTTTAAAATATGTAATTTATATTTTTTTTATTTTATATCAGTTTATAAATAACTATGACATTACTAATTTTAAAATAAATAATCTTATACATTATTCGAAATGAGACTCTAATTTAAGGATAGAGAGAGAACTCGCATGAATGAGGAATACCTTTTTAATTTATTCGAGCTCCTTCAAATCTCATCTCATTCAACATTTAATTCTACTTTTATAACCTACAAGAATAAACCTAAATATTTGAGGTGACACATCATATTAGAGCATTGGCAGAGTCTAAAGACTGCCATGTCATGCCACATAGGATTAGTTTGCATTAAAATTGGTATTACCACGCATGGGAGGGGCATTCCTCCATGATATGCAAGGCATGTGTAAGGCATAATCTCTCCTTTTTTATCTTTTACTAGCATTTTAACCCGTGCCACGCACGGGATTAAACAAATTTTTTGTTTGAAATTTGTAATATTTCTCTGCTAGAACAATTTTCGGAAATCGAACAAAATAAAGAGAGAATAAAATAGATATGAGTAAACAACTATGTAAATACCAAAATAGAAGTCATAAATATTTTAAGACCAAAGTATGAGTTCACAATGTCTTTATTACACTTTAGCACTCACCAAATTCTCACATTGTAACTGCCGCACTACCGCCGCCACACTCCCATCCGACGCCACCGGCCACCAGAATGCCGCCGCGGATCGCTGATAATTGACTGATCACACCCATATATTACACTGTCATCACCTTGTCATCACAATGCAATGTGTACCTCTAACAGCACATTGCCAATATACTCTTATTTTTGTCTAAAAAAATTTAGGACTCCTATTTTAGTATTTTAATATTTTTTAACGCCTATTAAGGAAGATTTCTTCAATATAAAACATCGACCTTAAAAGTTAAAATAATGATAAATAACATTTACTAATGATAATTTTACTATACACATTTAAAAACTAATATGTCAAACTCTTGTTTAAATTAGATCAATTCGAAAAACTATGAGGTATACAATATTTTTGTATAGAGAAAAAAAACTAAAGTAGGAGTAAAATATTGAAAATATACAAAAAAGGAGTTTCATGGTTTTATTTTGAAATAAGAGTTAAAATACATTTACAATGTCATTCATGACCTTATACATTACAAAAATATAGTGAAATACTCATACACAGTGTCACATTACCACACTACGAATTCCTATTTTGGAGAGAAAACTATTGAGATCCTATTTGTGTACTTTCTCGATGTCTTACTTCAATTTACGGTGATTTCTTTTTTTTGTATAATGTTATAAAGACTACTAAAGGCATTTAAAATTAATATTTTAACTCTACTTTTACTCTCACTCTTGTAACATCAATATTAAATTAACCGTCAGTGAATGCCGACTTGATAAAATATAGTCCTATAAATGACAATGTTTGGCCCTAACTTTTAATTATAATCATGACGAACCATAAACTTTTGAAAACTGTATTTTGTTTTAACTTCAAGGGTAATCTTATATGAAATGAACATAATACATTTAGGCTATGTAACCTTCTCTACGAATTTGTTAATTTTTGTAAGTCTTCAACGATTAACCTAGTATTATTACATAATTTATATGGTTAATCAGTCTTCCTCAATAACAAATGGGTACAACTTTCTTCAAATTGAATTATTTTTTGGCTTAAGATAAGCCCAAACATTTATTCTCATTCATAAATTCAATTTTTATACAACCATCATTGATGGATGAAAAATATGATCCCCCTGCCCGCATTAATTTAGGTTCGATAAAAATGATTAATCTCCCCGCATTAATATAATTCTTTTCCCTTGTATTGATTTTTAAAAATGTGATTTTTCCATTAATTACAAAAATTAGTGATCCTATAATTAATTCAGTTCATTAATTCAAAACTGGAGTATTGATCTTATAATTCAAAGAATATAATTTTTTTTATTCCGCATCGCCGTATTAATTTTTATTAGTGAAAAAAAAACTCTCCCGCATTAATATGATTCTCCTCAATCACATTGATTAAAAAAAATTCTCTCTATGATTATTTTCTCCCTGTATTGTTCAAAAAGCATAATCTTCGATAAGGAATACTATGATTAAAAAAAATTAATTTAAAAAACCATTGAAACCCAAATTATTATACCCTCGGCATTCGTTCACAAAAATTAAAATAAAAAATATTAGTACTCCTATGATTCTGAAAAGTAATTAACAAAAACATTTGATAGTTTTTTTTTCAATTTTTTTGTTTTTTGTTCGAATACAAAATCATTCAATTTAAAAAATGTTTAGTTTAAATATTGATCATTTAAAAAATAGTCTAGTCATTTGTAGTATTTTATTATAGAGATTAATATATTTTTTTAAATTGTAGATCATTATTGAAAGAAATAGAATAAAAAATAACTTTATTTAAGCATGTCACACACAACAATGAAGTTCTCAGAGGTTAATAAAACATATTTTATTAAGAAAGGAAATCTTATTTATTTTTTAAAAAATTTATTATAAATGAAGAGAACAAATATAAAATTATAAACTATATTCTAATAAAAGCGGTGATCTTTATTGCATAATAAAATTAACACATTAATATTGAAATCATAAATAATGTTAACGTAAATATAATATGTCGTGGTGACACATTTTTTGTTCGATTTTATTCTATAATTTATTCAAAAATAACATATAATAATATATTGATTTTTAAGTTTAATTGAAATCCGAGCAGAAATATTATACTAAAAATTTTGCTCAAAGTTTTATTTGTAAAAAAAGGAACTTTTCTTTTTTCCTTTAGTAATTATATTTTATGCAATACTATATTTATGCTTCACTAATTTTATTTTATTACATAATTTATGTTATTATATCATAAAAGATAAATTATTGATGAATCTTACAAAAATAATAAATTCTTTGTTTATCCTAAATTTTATTTATATTATGCTAATATTTCGCTAATCTAAACACATTATCTTTATACGAAAAAAATTTTAAACATTAATTTATCATTATTAAAATTTTATTTTTTAAATATGCATTTTTTATTATTTAATTTCATATAAATTAATATATAAAATGAATTAAAATAAATATCTGTCAAATATCGTAATAGAAAAAAATTGTGAATAGAGGGATCGGAGTATTTATTATAAACTTTCATACACTAATAAACTTTTAGTAAAGTTAATTAAAAACTGGTACTTTAAATTTTAAAAAGAGACGCTGTAATTAAGATAAAGAATTGAAATTGCCAGATCTTGCGGAGAAGAAATTTTGTAGAATAGTAAGCGTAAGATGGTAAGCTTATTTTCCCAGAATAAAAAATTGTAAATCTGATCTAGCGCAAGATGGTAAGCCTGAAGAATCTCTGGCCATCCGTAAAACACGTAGAAGAAAACTTCTAAACAATGCTCTTGACATGGCCACTGAGGTGTTAAAAAATTGTCCAGTCAGCATGCCACATGTCATAATTCTGAGAGCCCAACTCTCAAATTTTATATATAAAGATTTATTTATTTTTATTTCAAAAACACACAAAAAATTATACAAAAAATATTTATTTATTTGAAAAAGTACATCAGTTTTTTTGGGAAATTTTTTTAAAAAATTCTAATAATTAAAATACATAAAAAAGTGTGAAAATGAAAAAAAACAATGACTTGCCACTGCATAACATGCTACTCTACTCACTTGCCACACGCTGACTGGACTATTTTTGATTGGTTGAAATGTTCCACGTCATCATGTGACATTCTATTTGTGCCTCACCATTGCACATGCTCTTAGTTAGACCAGGTGTTTAGTGGGGACATGGAACAACCAGAAAACTATTTTTACCGGTCTAAAAAAATGTCACAGTTATTATTTCGATCTTTCGATAAAATATTCATGTTGCATCTTATTTTATAAAAGTTTTGATGTAATTTTAAACGGTAAAATTTTAACTTTTATTTCTCTATCAATTTGTAAATAAATAATATTAAAAAATGATATTTTTTACACGTCCTTCAAAATGTTATAAATAATTTGTTATAAATAATTTGAGAAATTGAATTGATTATTTTTGAGATGGGAGAAGATCCAATGTTTTTGGGCCGATTCGGATTATGTGCATTTTGAATTCGGGCGGATCCGTTACCGGGTTTTGGTCGGGTACACTTAACAGAATTACAGAGGTCCAGTGATACTCTCCGTCAATGAAGAACAACTTGGTGAATAAGGATCGGCCTTTTCTGGTAAAGCTATATATTACACGCCTGAAAATATGAAATCTCCCGGAGACTTTCCCCACATGGCCGACCAAAATCATTAAAAGAGATTGCAGGGAAGAACATCATCTGAGACTCAAATCTGGACATCGGAATAAAAAGAGAGAGATTGCCAAATTCGATCGAGAATCGGAGGTATTTGTCAGGTTTAATCATCTAATTCCAGTCGTACGTTGTAAGCTCGTGGAAACTTCAATTTGCATCAGATTAAAGAATGCAGGGTAGCTAGAAAATCATAGGAATTTCAAATAATTGCATCTGTATTTCTTGGACGGTGGAAAAGTTGAGTCTTTTTCTCACATGCTAGCTGATCTTATGATATGGAGTGTTTTAACGAATTGCGTTGGGTTTGAAAGTTGTATTCTTTTTCATTCTGGTACACTCTTTTCTGGTTCGGTTCGAGTTCTGGGATTTACCACCAAGTAGAACTGTTATCCCTCTCTGGAATCCTCTCTAGTTTTTTCTTGTTTTCCAGTTGTTGCTGCTTGTTTGGTATATTACCTCTGATACGCACAAACTTCAAGTGTGTAAAAGTTTCAGTTTGAAAGATAACTAATTGACCTAAAAGAGGAAACTGTGCTCCTAATTTTTAGAGGCCCGTGGTGATTACTATGAGAACTAGGGAATAAGGTCAGCTCCTTTACTTCTACCGTACTATCTTGCCAACCCCATACATGGGGGGGGGGGGGTCCTCCCTCACCAAGAGTAGTGTCTGAATTTGAATTGAGTACATATTTTATCAGCAAGGGGAAAGCAAAAAATTGTGGCCTAACGTGTAACTTAAGAACCAGCTCCGGGTGAAAAGGGCTGGGGGTTCTGCGTTTGGAGCTTGTTAACTTATATATGGGAGCTTTACCCAATGGTAAGCAAATAAAATGAACATATACTAAGCACGGGAGCACATAGAACTGAGTTAAGTAATGTGCATTTGTGGATGCCGACAGGAATCACGGATGCGGATTCAGCTATTTTTAAATCTTCCTTAGGATAGTCTTTTTACATTTGAGGCTTACCATATTAGTGGAATCTCTTTCATGTTAGTCAACAGTTGTTGCATGTTTTTCCAATTCATTATAGTCATAAGGTTGGAAGTATGTTTAAATTTCAGTTGGTGGCCTTGTTATAGTTTAGCCCAATTTAATTTCAACGTTTGTTGTTGTCTAAAGCAATAGGTTGAAGTGGTTTGGGCACATAATGAAGAGAGGTGTGGAGGCTCCTGTGAGGAGATGCAAAAGGCTTACGGCAGTGGGCGTAGGGTAGAGGTAGACCTAACCACCTAGGTAGAGTAGACAGGACTTAAGACTTCAAGATCTCACTGGGGATATGTTTGGGGATATGCCTTAGATAAAGAGCACTTGGAGAGCTAGGATTAGAGTAATTGAGCCGGGGTTCCTTGGAAACATTCTCTTTAATTACTTCCATGTAGGGTAGGGTTTACACACCCTATTCTTGTGGGATTTTATTGGGTTTGTTGTTGTTGTTATTGTTGTCTAAAGTCCTATATTTATTGGTGACACAGACGGCGGTTTCTTCTTATATATGGCACAACCCTGCAGATGTGATGGTGATGATGAGCCTGGGTGGATCAAAAAGGTGAAATCAGAAGGCGCTGTTCCGTTTCTTGATCCTGAAAACTGTTCCAATGGTTGGGCATCTCCAGCTGGCGATGTTTTCATGGTAAGAGGCCCGGACTACTTCTCAAACAGAGTCAAAATTCCAGGCGGTGAATATCTTCTGAAGCCTCTTGGTTTTGATTGGATCAAAGGCCCTTCAAAGCTCTCCAATCTCTTGTGCAATCCCAAACACCGCATCAGGATGGCTCTTTTGGACGAGTTCCCGGCGCCAGGTTGCGAGAAGCCCTTCGTTTGGGCTTTCAACTTGCAAGTCCCCAGCAAGGAAAACTACAGCGCGGTCGCGTATTTCATGCACGCGGGACCCACAACCGAGGGGTCCTTGATGGACCAGTTCCTGAGAGGAGACACCGCTTTCAAAAACTCAAGGCTAAAATTGGTAGCGAATATTTCCAAAGGACCTTGGATTGTGAAGAAGGCAGTTGGGGAGCAGGCCATATGCGTCATCGGACGGGTACTCACTTGCAATTACTGCGCCGGAGACAATTTCATCGAAGTCGACATAGACATTGGGTCCTCAGTGGTTGCGAATGCCATTGTTCACCTTGCATTCAACTACTTGACCAAGCTGACCGTCGACATAGCCTTTCTTATTGAGAGCCAAACTCAACAAGAACTTCCAGAACGAATCTTGGGAGCTGTGAGGTTCTCTGAGCTGGACCCCGCTTCAGCGAGGACAGCTGAAGTTCTATCACCTGAGCAGCAGAGCTTGGAAAGGTCGCAATCCTCGCTGTCTCGGCTATGGAAGTCGCTTGGGAACAGCTTTTCCTCCATTCACAAGGGTGCTCAAGAAAGCTTTGATATCTCTGGAGGAGGAGGGGAGAATGTAGACTAGTGGTAAGTGTCTTATGGGCATATGATCACCACATTTTCTTTCTTTTTTCTAACATAAATGTTCTCAAGTAGCATCAAATTTCTTTTTAGAACAGATATTTGATGTTTGGGTTGATTGTTTGCTACTGATAGTATTTGGATAGTTGTTTAAGAAAAAAAAGGGTTTGGGAAGATGAATTGTTTATATCAACCCTTTTATTCGAGTACTTGAATATGGGAAAGAATTCTATCCCCTTTTAAACATCTACTGTAGTAAAAAAAAAGATGACTAAAAAACTAAGCCAGAAGAACTCGTGTTTTCATCCTTGAGACGAAGAAAAAAAGAAAAAAGGAACTCTTGCTATAAATAGGGCAGGTTTTTTTGCATCATACATACATCAACTTTTAGCATTGTAACAAAAAAGTACACCAACTATAAATTTTGTAACAAAAAAGTATCAAACATTTGTACACCAACAGGTAACAAGGATCAAAATTGCAAATTTTCAGCTTTATTTTATTATGTTTTTGACATGTGTTCAAACATTTCCTAACTCTATTATAACGCATCTTTATAATGTTTTTATTTTATTATGTTTTTGATCTCTGCTTTAACTTTCCAATTAATAACTCTATTATAATGTATTATCCCTTTATACATTCCCAACCCATTAAACCTGCATGTAGAGTCATTACTCTTACTAGAGATCGAACTTGTGACCTCTCACACGGAAGATTTACCATCATGCCGCTAGACCATAAGGTCTTACGCTATGTTTGGTTCAAGAAATTAGAAAGGGAAAAGAAAAGAAAATGAAATGAAAAACTATTTTTCTTATTGGGTTAGAGATGAAAAGAAACAAAAAGTGGAATGAAAAGAAAATGAGAAGGCAAAATGTACTAAGCAGAGGGAAATTCAAATTCCTCTTATTTTGATGAAGAAAATGAGAGAAAGTTATACTCCCTCCGTTCCGCAAAACCCTTCCGGTTTTGACTTTGGGGAAAAATAAGGAAAGTGTAATTTTGGTTGACTTTCCAATTTTGCCCCTGATGTGATGGGAAAAAGTAAGATGTGATAGTTTGGTTATTAGTGAAAAAATATGATGTGATAGGTAGGGTATGAAAAAGTAGGGGTAAAAGTGGTTTTTTAATAGAAAGTGAAAGTGTTTTGTGGAAAGCAAAAAAAACGAAAGAGAAAGGGTTTTGTGGAACGGAGGGAGTATTTTTTTTTCCTTTCAAATTTTTAGAACCAAACATAGTGTTAATGTTTAATGAAAGAAAATAGAGTGCACGATCATTTTTATTTTTTTCAATTTTTGAATAATGCTATAGTAAATAAAATTAGTAGAATTGAAAAAAATATATGGCTGAGATTCCTCCCCGGCCGTTTGCTTCTTCACTTTTTACATTTTTGATTTGATGAATTGGCGGAGGATTCCAAGATGAAGCTATACAGCCTCCCACACCGAATTTATTACGCTACCATTGTTTCTTTAAACAATGGGCGGCAAAAGGGATCATCCAATCGGGCTCGTTTTTCTGATTTAATCTTTGGTGAAGATCGGTATCCCAAACCAAAATTAATACTCCCTCCGTCTCTAAATAAAGTTTCATTGTTTACTTTTTGAGGATTTTTAAGGGAGGGATATTTTTGTGTTGACTTTTCAAAAATACTCTTGATGTGATGTGTAAATGTAAGATGTGATAGGTAGATTATTAGTAAAATGGTATGATGTGATAGGTAGAATATGAAAAAGTAAGGGGTAAAAGGGGTTTTTTAAGGAAAAAGAGAAGTTTATTTGGGGACAAAAAAAAAACGAAAGGGGAAGTTTATTTAGGGACGGAGGGAGTAAAATTTATTATTTGATAATTTTGATTTCGGATACTCGATCTTCATCAATTGTAAACTTCTAAAACATTACTTTGTTATGTATAATTTTTTATTTGCAAAAACAAATCTCATTCTATCCTAAATTGTTTATAACATTTCACAAAACATGTAAAATATTAACTTTTTTAAAATTATTAATATTTACTACTCCCTCCTCTGTATTTGTCCACTTTCATTTTTACACACCATCCAATGCACTTCTTTAATCCATTTTATCTTGTAATTTGTATATTAAAAAATTATAAAAATTATATATTAATAATCTATATGTTAAGACAAATCAAACAAGATCACACATGACTATATTTAGGTTTACACATTAAGAGAATTTGATGAGTCAAAGTGCTTAGATGAACAGTTCCAAAAGTCAAAACTGGACGAATACTCCGGGACGGAGGGAGTATAATTTTTTATTTGCGAAAACAAATCTCATTCTATCCTAAATTGTTTATAACATTTCACAAAACATGTAAAATATTAACTTTTTTAAAATTATTCTATTTATTATTTGGTAGAGAAATAAAAAATATAAATTTAGGAAAAATTACCCAAAATAATCCCAACTTTAGCCGGTCTTTCAAAAATAATCCCACCTTTCACTGTGATGCATAATAATCCAAACTTTATTGAAATTTGCCAGTTTTGGGTCGCCGTTAAGTTTCTAACGGAGGGTTAACGGAAATGCCCGTTTTAGGCAACAAAATGAAAGTTGGGATTATTTTTTATGAATTTTTGTTTTTAAATTTTTTTTGAAATCTTTATTTAAATTTTTTGAATTACTTTCAACCTCCATTTCTTTTTCTTTTTTAAAGATTATTCTTACCTTAGAAAAAAAATAGATATAAAAAATAATGAAAATGAGAAAAATAACTAAAACCATACAAAATTAATCAAATAAATAATGTAATCAATAAGAAGTGATATGTTAATACTTTGTATAATGCGTAAAATATTAA